GTTAATTCGAAATCCGCAACAGAAACTAAAAGGACTTTGAGTGAAATTATATTGTAATAAACATTATTATTATTAGGTCACATACACATTATATATTAGATACACATCAGAAAACATTATTAGTCATAATTAGTCATAATGTGTTGAAACTCATTTAGGGTTGTAGAATATAGAGACCAATTATTGCGACGGATATTAAACAAACAATGATCCAACTTTCCTAATATGAGAATCAACGCATGATCACAAATTCAGTCTATTATTATAAGAATGACCAAAAGAATCTCAAAGGTTCAACTAGTAAAGAACAATATATTAAAATTTTAAAGAATAGTACTCATTTAAAACAAGTAGTGATGGATGTGATATCATCTTCGATATCACTTCCACAGTTCTTAGAAAAGTACCACAATTGTCTTTCAGAAATATATTAATGTTCAGATTATAGTATTAATATTAAGGATAATATATACAGATAAGTCCGTGGTACTACTTTACATACATATTTGTGCATATCTTGTAGTTTATGTTGAAGCTATCCTGATCACATCAAAGTTGATGCTATCCTTGGCCTTAGCAGAAACGATATTAAAATCTACACTGAACTTCTTACAGGACACTGCAGACTTAATAACCACATGAAGATTATAGGTGCGTTAGAAACTCACTCTGTCATGTTCTATGCAACTGCCCAGCGGTAGCAAGACGTAGACTCGATTACCTTGGAAGCGGGTCCCAAATTAAATAGGTAAATTTTAAGCCCACAGCAAATACAAGATTTATAAATAGTCTTAAATTGTCCTAGTTGGGCCTTTAGGCTTACAATAGATCTTTTAGGTCGGGGTGCTTTAATAGCCTATTACTTAATAATAAAATGTTGAAGCTATTTTTTTTTTTTTTTTTTTTGGTATCCAACCTGGGGGAAAAATCTTCCAAAGATACAAATGGCCCGTACCATTTCCATGCTCGATTCATGCATAACCCAATTGAGTCATACATGCCTCAGCCCTACATTCTCGACCAATTAAGGTATTTCTTCACAGGGCAGGTAAGAAGAGCATTTAGTGTGCTTTCACTCCGATTGTGTACTAAGTATTTCGTCCGCTCTAATAGTGTTTATTATTCTAGATATTATGCTCTTGTAGAGGCTCCATTCTTCAATGCTTGCCAAAATCTATATTACTACAGTAGGAGGGCTGGCTTCCCCAATTATAGTCTCCAGATTTTGTCTAGTATCAGCGAATCTTATACAGTCTCCAATTATATGGTCGGGGCTCTCAATTTTATCTGGACAAAACTGGCAGTACGGATTACTTGCAAGCCTGAACCGGTATAAGTATTCACGGAAGTAGCCATGCCCCGTAAGAAACTGCGTTAATTGAAATCCCAGTTCTCCAGATCCTCAGTTAATCCAAACTTTTATATTTAAAAAAGGTCCCTGAGGATGTCATTCGTCCTCATGCACCATGATACATTGAAAAAGTCTTCTCAGAGCCTGGCTTTGTGCAATTTCTAGCTGGCGAGTAGTAGTGTTTGTAGCTTTGCGGAACGCTACACATCCATATATAAGTGACGGGCGAATTATTTGGTTATATCTTGTAGTACTTATTTATTTTCTACAATATTTAATTCCAAGAAAATAAATAACTTCAAATACAGCTGGATTTTAGTTTTTAATATTCTACGCAATATTTCGACTAGATTCCCTTTTTGTTCCAATGTCGCACATGTTTTTCGTCACTTTTGGTACGAATTAAATTATATATTAATATTAAGATTATATTAAATTAATATTAATATAAGTTAATTATAACTTTTTAGTTAAGCTGTGAGAATACTTAATTCCCTATAGAATTCTAATGTTCTAGGCTACGTTTTCTGTAGATTGCTAACATACTCAGTTCCGTGTGGGACGCTCATATCATATGCAACGTTTTGGTTAGACCCTTATAATACTTAATTTTCTGTGGACTCAAACGTTGCGTATGTTTACCAACACTTTTGGGATTTGTTTAACATCTAGTATGAAAGTATTGATATATTACATATTGCTAATTAAAGCAATAATTAAATTTTTTCATTATCTAGGCTTTTTCACTATAGCCTTCATAATCCATACAGCATTAGATGGTGGAAAATTAATAGTGTTAAAGTCTGTGTACTGTCATCAAATGTTTTTATGGTAGACCCTTAGTAGTGGATACCACAGTTTTAAGTGATGTTACTACTTTTAAAGAACTTTAGATTATAAAATTCGTGTTTTGAATGTGGATAGAAATTGGAATAAAAATTAGTTAGTTAATTTAGCTTAGTTAGTGTCCCTCGTAGACGTGAAATATTATTATCAAATACGAGTTTTTATTGATTCAAAATGGATTATTGAAATAAAATAATTTGATATTTAGCAAAAACTAATAAAACAAATAAAAAATAATTGAAATGATATATGTTTAATAGCATGTAGATAAAATAATTGATACATTTTTCAAAATCAATAAAAGCAAAGAATTCTGTTTTTAGGCTTTGTAAACTAGTAACTTAAATTAATTTAACAAAATAAAAAAAAATAAATTAATAAAAAATATCAAATTAAAAAAAATAGCTTTGAATTGACATTTTTAATGAATGAATGTTTTATTTAAAATTTAGTAATTAACTAACAGTGGCAATTGGTGTGTGTAGGTGTCAGATTTTTGACTTCAAGCATGGATATCCGTAACTGCAAGGCCCACCTATGCTTAGGAAATATTGTTCATAATAATTTAAGTTGATTTGAAATTTTATAAACAATTTAGAATAAAATGAATTTGAACGAAAATATTGAATTCAGTTTTATCCACTAATACGTTAATATGATTAAGGTTAGGTTTATATAATATATAACATAAAAATAAATAATATTTGTTAAACTGATACAAAATTATAAAATTCTTATGTAAAATTGTAGCCACAAGAAAAAATCTACTATTATAATTAATAATATAAATAAAATCTATTATTTCTACTGTCTCACAAGCCAGTGTGAAAAAATTGAAAAATATCACAACATTATTCGACAGAATACATATGAAATTTAGTCAGCCAAAAATTCAATCAATTAAAGTAATATAAAAATAATTTTTGTTGTTGTGGTTCACTACTGTTCGAAACCTCTCTATTAAATTTAAAACTAAAAAGTAAAAAAAATTTTTTTCTAATGTGCCATTAGATAAAATCTTTGAACCAACCCTATTATATCGATTATGTTTTTATCTAAATCTTTATCTAAACAGAATCAAGAGCATGACGTTTATATAAAGATTTTATTAATATTGATTTATGTTAGACCCTGATCCTGATGATAACTCTCAGAAAAAATCGCAATATAAAATATATAATATTAATTTATGTTAGAGCCTGATCCTGATAATGACTTTCAAGGAGAAAACGGAATCAAGAGCATGAAGTTTATATAAAGATTTTATTAATATTGATTAATGTTAGATCCTGATCCTGATGATAACTCTCAGAAAGAGTCGCAATATAAAATATATAAAAAAGATTATTATGAAACTTTTTTGTAAGTTATTAGTGTGTGACGGTATTAATACCGGTTTTGGATAGAACACGAATGATGAAAAGGATAAAATTAATTATCTGCGTTATATACAGCCACAGAATGGATTAACATACCTAAGATGATCTTTAGAATCACCGCAATACCATAACCTCATCTAGTAAACTAATAACTGATTTGTATAATCACTTTTTTTTGTGTGTTTGGTAGAATGGAAATACCTAAATCCGCACCCTGGAAAATGAGTGTCCAAGTTGCATGTACTAAATCCCTCTCCCACATTTCTTGAAACCTTTTTGAAACCATTTCTATTTGTGTGAAGAGTATTGAATCTAGCAACGTTTAAGCTAACTCACAAGTACTAATCTCATCTAGTAAACTTATAATTGATTTGTACCATTACTCTTTTTTTTTGTGCGACTGGGAGGATGGAAATATTCACACATAATTCTGCATCTCAGAAAGTGAGTGTCAAAGTTGCATGTACTAAATCCTTCCCACATATTTCTAGAGACCTTTTCTGTAGAATTTCTATTTGTGTGAAGAGTATTGAATCTAGCAACGTCTAAGTTAACTCACAAGTAATAATATATCTTTCGAAATGTGAAAAATGAAAATGAATGATTTCATCATCATTCCTAGTAGACACCAGACCATACATCTTCATTGTATACCTTTTATATATAATTACCCTTTTTTCTATATAATTAAATTGTTTTGTAACTGAATTTGAATTCCAACAATTCTCATTGGTAAATCAACTGTGAGTCAGCAAATGATCAATTGTGCTTTCAGATACAAATTAAAATGCTCCGCAAAAGAAAATCTCGCAATTGTTAGGAGCTCGCGTCTACTTGCACTTATGGTAAGAACCGATTGTCTTCAATGTATAAAATTCCAAATTCAGTGGAATCTTTGTGTTTCTAACTACAGTTTATATGCCATTCGCTGGATTAACACATGTCTAATTACAGATAATAACAGAAGGCAAATGGCAGCGCAACTCACGGTGGATTTGCTGCCGTTGAGCGTACCGCACCGCACCGTCTTTGGACGTCTCCGCATGACTTCACATTAACGCATTTGTCTTTCATTTGAACTTCATTGTAGTTTCCGATTCATATACTCGATGTGTTGCGATGCGATTTGCCAAAGACATAAACAATTTATGAAAATTAAGTTTGCCTTTAGCGATTTCACTTTAATTTTATTATTTATTTAACACGATTTCGTTTTTTGCCTTACTGGGAATCGTTTTCGTGCTGCGGATGCTGTGATTTTGCAATTAATTGTGGGTGAATACTAGAATTACCCGTACTATCGAAAGCATTGATTATTATTATTAATACTATAATTGTTGCTAATATTGTTCTTAATACTCAATACTGTATGTAATTGTTGTTAATAATATGTTATTTTTTTTTTGTTTTTTTTCTTTTGTCAGATTAGTGTCCAGCTTTACGCCATCAATACTTTGCGCCCACATACCGGGCCTTACACAGCAGCAAGCACAATTATGCAGTGAATCACCGGATGCATTAATAGCTTTGGGTGAAGGTCATCACATGGGCGCAGAAGAATGTCAGTATCAATTCAGAGGACATCGTTGGAATTGCACCAAAGTTTGGCAAAGAAATGTGTTCGGTCACTTCATGTTCGTGGGTAAATATTGTGACAATAACGCGTCGAGAAATGGGTCACCACAAAGTGTTCTCGTCTCAGTAAATCGTTTAATTATTTGTAATTTTGTTATGAATTCATTTGAATAATATTTGCTTTCAATAAATCTGTGTTCAGGTTCGCCAGAAGCCGCATTTACCTATGCAATTGCAAGCGCTGGTGCAGCACACGCCGTAACCGCAGCCTGTGCACGTGGCAACATATCAATTTGTGGTTGCGATGTAAGACACAAAGCGAGGCGTGCCAATGGTAATTTTCTCGCAGATGGTAATACAGGCCAACAGCCTTGGAAATGGGGTGGCTGCTCGGCTGATGCTGAGTTCGGCATGAGATTCGCACGTAAATTTCTGGATGCACGTGAAATTGAGGGTGATGCCCGCAGTCTCATGAACTTACACAACAATAAAGTGGGCAGAAAGGTAAGTTACCTGCGGCATCGTAAACCAATTATATTTGCTGTTATATATAATAAACGAAAAATCTATATTCGCACACATTTCAGTTAATTAAAAATCTGCTGCGTACCGATTGCAAGTGTCACGGTGTGAGCGGTTCGTGCGCCATGAAAACTTGCTGGAAAAGTTTGCCGCCATTTCGAATGGTGGGCGATGTACTCATGAAGAAGTACAATAAAGCCAAAATTGTTCAAGCCGTTAAAGGCAAACGTGGACTGAAATTAGTTATAAGCAAGTAAGTTCAAAACTATTGAAATAATTCATAATAATTAATAAAGTTAACTATATAAATAATTGATTTATATTGTATATGCGAGTATATAATTAAATTATGGGGGGAAAACTTTTAAGACCAAAAAGGTTAATTTTTGTTAATTTTTTTTTGCCGAAAGTGACGCGTCTTATGACGAAAAGAAACTATTTAAAAGTTAGAAGGGTTCAAATGGATATGAATAGATAACAACAAAAAATTTTATTAAATTTTAATTTCAAATTTCACTTACAATAAATTAAACAAAATTTTTGTTATTGTCTTTTCATTTCTATTGGAACCCTTTTTACTTTCAAATATTATACTATTGAAGAATTAATACTTATAGTTTCTGTGTAGAAATATTAACAATAATACAATTTTTTTTAACTGAAAAATTAGATATTATGAACCCTAACCATGTAAGGAAATGTTGATCAGGCTGGAAACCGGTTAAAAACTCTAAATATGTAAGGCTATGTCAAAAAGATTGTGTTAAGGTATTATGGTGACAGATGAGAGTTCTTAGTCGCACAAATTATAGACATGTTTGATTGAAATTACTGATCTATTATTTATTGATTTATTATATTTAAAAAAATATAAAAAAATGGGTTTTAGAGCGCATTATATTTAAATCTCAAAACCAATGAGGTTTTAAACAGCAGTGAATTGTAACAGCAGAATTTTCATTTATTAATGGAATTTTGGGCTGACTATATACCTGTTTCAAGTACTGCCAACTCCAAAAATGGGTCCTAGAGAGCATTGTCTCTAGAGACTATTGGTTTTGAGCATTAAGGAAATGTAGTACATTAGTGTAGAGGTTATGAACAGCTGTGAATTATAACAACGAATTTATTTATTATTTATTATTATTTATTTATTAATAATTATTGAATTTTTGGCTGACCATATAACTGTTTCGAGTATTGCCAAATATCCATCATCAGTGGTTATGATTAACATATGGGATAATTTGATGAAATTCTTTCTTATATTTGATTAATTGCAAAAAAGCTTGGGACTGCAAGTACCAAAAGTTGAAGTCATACCCTGCCAAATTTAAAGTTCAGAGTAAGTAATTCATTAGCCAACTCACACAAAGTCGTACTCGACTTTTAAATTCAAAGTTAGAGTTTTGTTAATTTGCTATGAAAATTCATTAACAAATTCACTTGCTGTGTTATATTATTAATTACACTTACGGTGAGCGCCCATGATTTAGTAATTTTAGATGATTTGAATCTTAAGTTCGGTTCCATTGAGCAGTCGTTCCATTTGTTTTTTGAAGAGACACCATATTTTCCTTTATGTGATTTTTTAAATATTCTATTATCTGACATAGAATGTGTATAAATATAGAGCTGTGAAAAAATGTAGTTAAGTAAGAAATTATCTTTGTTGACAATCTATTTAACTGCATAACATAGGCTTAATCTGAACTATTATCTTAACAAGATTTGTGGTGTCAAAATGTTATATCTGCTTGAAAAAGGGTGAGAAATCTAGTCGCATTGTTTGTAATTATCTAATTTAAATCTGGGTATAGTGTAAAATACTGAAGATAGGGCTTCTGTTCTCATTTTAACTGGACAACTTGGGTTTAACTTGGACTATTCTCTTAACAAGATTTGAGGTTTTAAAATATTTGCTTAAAAATGGATAAGAAATCTAATCGCATTGTATGTCTACACGCAGTTTAAATTTAGGTACAGTGGAAAATACTGATTATAAAGCTTCTGTTCTCATTTGATGTAGCGAAATCCTTAACGACGGTCATTATGGTAGCTGGTCTTTTAGATATCATATTTCGGAAATGGAGGATTATGTTCAGTTGTTTGCATAAAAGATCTATTACACTATTGTATATAATCTCTCTCTATCTAAGCAATATGTTTTCAGGGTCAGTTCTTGCTAAGAATAAATTAGGACAAATGCATACGTTTGTGGATCTTTATTATTTACGATTATATATATTCTTTCAAGTTAAGATATTTCGTAGTCAAAATGTCTAAAATTAATTCTTTATGTATAACAAATAAATAAATTTATTTGTTTTTTAAATATTTCTTTAAAATTATTACACAATAATATTATTCTTATTTTAAATTATAATAATTATTAATGATATATAATATTCTTTTATTTACTTACAGAAAAAATCGTGTAGGAAAATTGTTACAGGCTCCAAAACGTTTGGAACTTGTCTATTTGCAAAGATCACCAAACTATTGTGAACGAAATGTGCTAGCGGGTTCTCTAGGCACTACTGGACGTTTATGTAACCGAACTTTGCACGGTCCACAAGGCTGTGATTTACTTTGTTGTGGGCGTGGTTATAATACACAACAAATACGTCGCAAATTCCAGTGTCGTTGTCGGTTTGAGTGGTGCTGTAATGTCGAGTGCGATATTTGTGAGGAGAATTTTGAAGAATTTACATGTAAATAATTGAAATAAGTAATTAAAAAAAAAAGAAATAGTTATTAAAACTTAAATTAAATATGCAATAAAAATAGTTAAAATTATAGTATATCTTACAATACATATGTATTCGAAAGGAATATTATAAGTTAATTGAAATGTAGTTGTAAATTATATGTTAATGTACTTAAATTGTAATATTTTGTATTATAAATAATATAAGTTAATATATAAATAATTTTAATAATTTAATAAAAAACATATATATTACAGTATATATTAATGATAAGTTGCCTCAGTATGTATATTTATTAAAAAATCTGTAAATAAAAGTATTATATTGATTTAAAAAAAATAATAAACTTAAAATTAATTGCACAATTTAACAAAACCATTGATTTTATTTAAAAATTAAAGTTTTTTTTAAATTAAGTAAGCATCCCGAAAATATTTGATTCTGTCATTAAAATGTCCTTTTTACATTTTCAATAAGATTTCTTATTTTAAAAATATATATTTTGGCAAAAAACATTCACAAAACTAAGTTTTAGTTTATTATGTAGAAATTTACTACCAAAATTTAAACGGTGATAATGCCCGCAAGAGCTAAAAAAGCAGATAAAGTCAGGGTTGTATTATTATTAATTTTTTAAACTTTAAACTTTACATCTAAAAATAATTTTTATTTCACCTTATTTTGATCAAATTAGCAATAGCAGGGGGAGAAAAATAGTGTGAAAAATGTAAATAAAATTATAAAAAAATATATAACAGGAACCTCCTATAAAACACACTTCAATTAACAATTTTTTCTTGGATATAAATGGACATAGTTACATACTATAAGCTATATTCTATACAGGACCAGTTCCTTAATCTTAGTTAACTTTAAAATTAATTTAAATGTTAACTCACAAATAAATAAAATATATTATAGCTTATTTACAGTTACTCTAATAACATACCTATCAAAGAGTATTTGAAATAGAATCATCTTAGAACCCTTAATAAGACTAGTAAAGCCTATTGCCAAGATAAAATATATCGAGCTTGTTTATTGATATAAGATTGTCAATGGGTTATAATGCAGTGGTACTAGTTTGGATCTACTTTGCTCAAGATTAAAACAAAGTCCCAGTGCTAAATCGATTTTATGAAATTTAACTTTTATGTGTACTACACCTGGACAGTTAATGAATCAGCATGTAGATGTATCACTTTAAATTGCAGGAGAGGACACCTCTAAGTGCTGTACAAAGTACTTTTTTCATTATCTCTATAATAACTGAATAGTAATAACCTCTTTTACTTCTAAAGTAAAGGACATTTTTGTAGTATTTGCAACAATAGCTTTTGTGCAGAGATCTCCAACTCTTGATTTCTTGACTTCTCTAAGTAAAGAAAATCCCATTTTTATTGAATAGTTAACTATTCGCTAAAATTTCACGAAAGTTTCTAATGACTTTAACTAGATTTCTAACACTTTGAGTACCGACTTACTCCTTATCAACAATTTAAACAGTTCAGTAAATCTGTAAATACTTGGGTTTATTTTATTATAACATATAGCTCTGTTTGAAAGATGATTGTATTTTTATATAGCAATACAAATATATGTGATTTACTCTCCACTACATATAGTCACATTCTAGGATAAATTTTGATATCAACAATAAATCTATAATTTAACTCAACATTTATATATGTTGGATTTACAGTGCATACAGTCCCGTCAGAATAACAAAACCTTACACTATTGTGATAAGCTGATGATCACTATATTATACGTGTTGGTTAGAGTATTTTATAATCCATTTAACAAGTGGATCTAGCACATAAAAATATCGGATCTAATAATATATACATACTTGGTTGATGTTTTTGTATGTGCATTGTTCAAAATACAATATGTAGTGATTTTACATTAAGCAATGTATCAATGAATACTGTTGCCGACGTATTTCTGAATCTTTAGTCATGGTATAACTTAATTTATATATGTTTGCTAAAAACAGAATTTCTTCCCTCATCTCAATACAATATATATATATAATTGTTAGGTCAATATATATATAATTTTTCAATATAATTTAGTTTAATTGGGGTTAATTTCGATTATTCAGGACTCAAATTATTAATAAATAACACATACTTTCACTTAATAACATTATTTAATAAAAAAAATGTTTTATATTAATATTGCGGATTACTTTTTAGATATAAGATACTTTTATTTAAAAAAATATTAATTTTTTTAAATAAATTCAAAAAAAAAATATTTTTTTTTTGCAATTACAAAAATATTTTATAAGAAATTTTAAAATAGTTGCCGTTATTTACTTGTACCAACTTTTAACGTCCCACTATTGTCAAAATAGTGTTGCCAACTTTAAAAATTTTACTTGCCAACAAAGTTTAAGCTCATTTTTTTTGAACAAAAACAACAATATTTTTGTTGTTTCCTTACTAATTTTCGCTTGTAATTCTTCATTTCTTCTGTTATTGTTGTTGTTGTTTTTTCATTTTTGTTTCTGTTTTGATATTTTCTAAATTTTCCTCCTAAATTCCAACACATATACACTATTTTCTCACGGAGCAAATGTGGAGTAATTTCGATTGCGCTGGCGCCATGCAAGCAAAACATGACAATTCATTGATTATAAAAGCATTGACCGAACGTTTGTTGGTATGTGTGTATGTATGTTTGTGTGTTTGCTGCCATTAATAGTGCTACTACGGAAAATTTGAGCACTAGTGTGGAGTATTTTCTCAGCACGGCACGCTTTTAACCGAAAATCAAGAAAAAAATTATTATAGCAAAATACCAAAACTGGGTATAACAGTAGCGGTTCGCAGCAGAATTGCTCAGTTCTTAAGGGTAGTTAGTTGGAAAACGGCGTTTAAACGGGCTAAAAGTGCCGCACAATTGGGTTGATAACACTTTTTTTTTATATTAAATTATATAAATTAAAGAAATGGAGAAAAAGTGTACATATAAGTTGTGGTAGTTAAAGTTATCAAAAAGTAAAAAAAAAAGTGTATACTAGTCAGATTATGAATCAAATATATGAAAATTGCAAATTATGAAATTTTTTAATAACAAAAATTAAATGAAAAATCGAAAGCATTGTTATTGCACAACCCACCAAAAAGGTATAGCCAGATTTATTAATTTTTTTCGTTTGATATTTTAGAAAAAGAAAAATCGGTTACAAGTAAAAAAAAAATTTTATTAGAGGGGAGTTCTCTAGATACAGAAAAGTAAGTTTCTGCGTAAAGGCAGAAAACTTCAAACATTTTCAATGTGTAAAACTCATGCAATTATTATGAAATTGTAATCATAAAATATAATAATACAAAAATAAAATATTTTAGAATGTTAGAGATATATTTTTGTCTTTTCGAAGTAATTTGACTTGTTTTTTAAAATTAATTATTAAACATTTAAAAATTACATTGAACTAAAATTAAAATAAAATTACAATTCAAAAAAAGTTGAATGTTTAAGCAAAAAATCACTGAAAATCTGCAACTCCGTACTGCGTTATCGATTACTGTGCGAAATAAGGAAATAAGAAAATTATTATAAATTGTTTCAACCTACATATAAAAGATTTGATGATGATACAGTTAGTCGCGCAGCGTATACACCAATCGACTCGTACTCGTACTCGCACTCAGAACGAGTAGCCTAGAGGCAATTAAAGGAAAGGAAAGGAAAGGAAAGGAAAGGCAGGCAGGCAGCCAGGCAGGCAGCAGTGACGGCAATTTAATAGCAAAGCAAGTTAGTTATCTACTGCCACCCAACGCCTGACACTCATGCTCCCGCTATATTGCGTACACACAAACAAATATGTGTTAACGCAGCTTATACAGAAACCGTTAAAAGGGGCCAGTGGAGATGCAGGAGTTTAGTTGAGTGAGTTTGCACGATTAAAACGAAACGAATGTGTGTCAGTGGTTTCTTCGTGAAGTACGAGCATAATACGAGAGAAGTAGTAATACAAAATACATATAAAAGACAAAGGGAGTTTATTGGACGCAGTGCTCATGATTACATTGTACGTTGAACGTTGAACGTGTGTAAAATGCTGTGCAAATAAATAAGAACAAATTAAAAAACTATGTTAGAGAAAAATAATTATTTTAAATAAATTTAAATTAAATAAATTAATCTTTAAAAAGTTTTATGAAATAAAAATTAAAAATTTTTTTTTTATTATTTTGAATTTTTATTATGTACCTTAACGACCATGCAGCGACGCCATGTAAAATTTTCTAGTCAATGAGTGAAACTTGCATCATCATTTGCTACACGCCGGCCCTATCAAAATATATAGCAACGCCATTATTTCAACAAAAACCGAAACCAAAACCAAAACCAAAACAAAAACAACTACAACTACAGCAACAGCAGCAGTAGCAACACTTAGCAAAGACAAAAAAACAAAAAACTAAGAACAACAAATTCTACAACAATAATAATCATAAGAAGAAAAAAATCATTTGAATGACCATAGCAATTTAAAGAAATCCGCTCAGATAACAATACCAACAACAATAACAACAACAACAACAACAACAAAGAAGTTAAATCAAAAACAAAGAATGAAAATTAGTTAAATTGCCACTTGGTCATACTAAAATGTTTGAGCGATTAGTTGTCTGATTGATTGTATGTTTGATTGATTGATTGATTGGATTTAAGCAATATTAAAACAACTGAACTAGGGGAAAATATATCAAAATTTTTTTGTAACAAACTAGCCAAAAAAAAAAACAACAACACGAGTACTAAGCAATATTAAGCTTACAAAATTTTTTCTTCACCACACGTTAATAAGAAAAATCTACCAAAATTCATAAACTAAGCAAAGCTGGTGAGTTTCTTAAAGAAATCGACTATATATAATAATGATCAAATTATATATATAAACTAATTATTTATTTCTATTTTACTTCTACATTCGTTTTCATAATTTATTTAATTGTTATTTAATTTTCAATTTGTTTTCAATATTTAAATGTTTAATATTATTTAATTGTTTAAATTGTGTTTAAATTTAGTTGTACGCATT